TTTATCAGCATTTCCTTTAGTATTCTTTTATCAAGAGTAGTATTCTTTTATCAAGAGTTATATTCCTGATTTCGAGAGGTATTTTATAATGTGTTAATCATTATCTTTGCTCCGACAGCTGTGCTACAAGAGCAGGAAAAACATCGATTCGGGGGATTACGATACCGAGAGCATTTCGGCAGGGGGCGTATCCCCAGGTGCGTAATTGACTCTACCGATTGTAGATTGTGCTAAATGTTAAATGTGCGTGTGTATGCCTAGTATTAATCGCAAATTTGTTCAACGATTGATAAGGTTTTGTGTTCGATTTGGTTTTGTTGGGTGATTAGGCTGTTTGGCAATGACAGGCGTTGCCTTTGCCATTTCAGCAAGGTTTCTTGTGCGCGGCGAACGGTGGAAAATTAGTCTTGTCTCTCCGGGAGCTTCCGGTATTAATTACTCGATTTGATAATGCCCTATTACGCTTTTATGATGATCGGCTGGTTCCTTATAATCTCAATTGTGTCCATTCTGATTCGAGTAAGTTGTCATGTGATATAGCACAAGAAACCTGAATCTTCAGCTGATCTCAACGATCCTTTTAGGCCTGTTGTCTCTGCGCGAGGCAGAAGGTACCTAGTCAAACTGCGTCCCGGGGTAGAGGTCCTGGTCCAGGTCCTAGTGAAAATCGACCACCAGGAAGGGTGCTGCAGAGCTATAGAATCGATCCGTCAGGAGTGAGTCTGAACACAGGTGAGCAGCCATGAGTCACAAACGTTTCCCGATAAAGTCGGTTATCTTTGGTTCTTTGCTTATCGATGGGTTCGGTTGGTTGGTTGGTTGGGAAGATTCCGATTCCGTTCGGCAGTAAAATTAATTTATTCAGATGTGCGGTCGCAGGTCGGAGTGGTGGAATATCTCCATTCCGATTCTGATTCAGTAAGATGGGTGATCAGTTTCGATGGTGTGAGTTCGGTGTTCTGCTGCTCCTCTTCCTGCTGAGTCTCTACTTTTCCGTCAGTGTGAGTTCTTGGCCAAATATGTAGCCACCCGAAACGGGAGTGAAACCGCCAGATAATTGCAGAGATGTGTGGCCCAGAAGAGGCGCAGGAGATTGCCGGTTAGCCCGCCCTTGAGCAGATTCGTTTCTTCGTGCCCCTCGTCGCCGCGACTGAGTAGTCATCACAGTTGGACAGCAGGTGAGCAGCGCCAGTTCCGCTGATTTGTGGCATTCCCATTCGCGATGAAAATGTTCTTCCGCCCTTCAAAAATATGTTCTTTTGTCTGGCTACAAATTAATCGCTCTGAATTAATAAAAAATTTGTGTTATGTTTGCGCTTTCACGCTCGACTTCCAGTTACAATAATGCGTTGAATATTTCAGGAAATTCATATATGAAGAAGTTATTTTTTAATTATTCTTTCCTTCTTAAATTTAGAATTTAAGAAAATACATTTTCCGGAAAATTTAATTGGCAAGACTTGAGGAAATTACTTAAGAGTTCATTACGTATACGTAATTAGATGAAGTATACGGAAAATTATATTTATACTATCGACTACATTCAGAAAATAGACTGCTGCTACTAAAACTATTTTGAATCAATATGGTTGATACTGATCAATAAGATGTCTCTATTTAATGTAGTTAATTATTTGGTTTTGGTGAAAATTAGTGAGATTAAAACTGGAATTTCTTAAATATTCAATCTACAAACAATGAGTTTCGAAAGTAAATATTTGTAAGTATTTGTAATCTAATCTGTGATCTAACTAATCTAATCTATTATAAAATGTAATATTTTATAGTCAAACTAGTCATAACACTGAGAAAAACGTCGCTATAAGGTTAAGAAATATTTTTAGTTTGAGTTTCATTAAATGATTATTTGGTTTTATTTTCAGAGTTACAAAATATAATATTAATAATACCCATGATTTTTGATCTAATGCGGTTTTTTCCCCTTCTAAATAAGTTCCCAGAGCTTTGCAAGTCACGTGTGTCCAGCTGACACTATCCGAAGCGCAATTATGCGCATATCTGTTAGATACAGATACATTTGCTGCTCGCACACAGGTAATAGAACGCCGGAGCGAGAAGGAGAGACTTATCTTATCGGACTTTGTTCGCCGAGCGCTTATCACATGGCCCTTGACACACCTGTTCGTCGCTCCCTTCTTGCCCTCTCTCTCTTTTTGTTCCCAGTCGCTGATAAGTCTTGGCCAAAAGCCAGCGACGCGTTATTATATGACAGTTGGCCTAAGGCCTTTTCATGGAGCGAATATCTTTGCCGGTGCTCTCGTATCCACGTGGATAAACCGAATTTGCATATTGAAACCCCTCAAAAAATGTCGAACATACCGCCCTACCTGGTATTCTTCTTCCTGGCCTTCATCTCCTGCGCCGTCACCTTCTGCTGCCTGAGATTCTGCATTTGGGTCTGCTTCGAGGCCAGGGATTCCAGGATTCGCAGGCGAAGACATGGTAGGTTTTACCCACCATAACCAAAACCAAACCCAAAACAAACTTAATTCGACTTATTTTTGGCGGCTATCATAGCCTATATATATAGAAACTTGGCCAATCAGTCGGTTTCCCAGATAAGATTAGTTTGAAATTCGGTCTGGAGCTCTCAGTTTTAACTCGCCATTCAAGTGACTCGATTGTGTGCTTTTTTCTTTCTAACGGGGATTGATACAATGGATTTCTTTATCCTCTATGTGGGGTTGTTCTTCATCTTCTTCCTGATCATGCCCATGGTCTATTTCCTTCTGCAGGTATCTTTCGGATATTATTTTGAACCCCTCCCTCGCTTAGCTTCTTTATTTTCGTTATCGAAGATTTATCTACCGAAAGTTGTCTTACATTAGCAATATGATTTGATATATCATCATAACTTCTAAAACAAATAAAATAATTCGAAGATGCTTATTATTCGAAGATGCTTGGTAATAAATTCTAGAAATTTAAAATTCTAAAGTCCCTTAAGCGAGGGATCTAAGGTTTACCCCATTCCTGATCCATCCCTCATTTTCTATGATATTCGAAAGTGTGTACTATGGATTGTTTTGAACAAGTGCTGTGGAACCGATGTGCGCGGATCCTCAGATCCGGTTAGAAGGCGACGGCGACGAGAACGTGAAAGACGCCAGCGTCGCTTGGTAGCCATTGGTATTGGTATGTATTGATATATTGAAATCAATAGATTGACCAGTTGATATCACTATGGACGGCAGTCCATGTAGTGACGAAGCGCACCAGGAGAGTGTGCGAAGGCGACTACTATATATACACGAAGAAATGAAAATCTACTGTGATGGTCCGATCATAATGAATGATACACCTATCGAAAGGTATTGCAAAAACTAACAGGATTGCATACCAAGACTCTAAGAAAATCAATTGGCTTGGGAGAGAGAGCGGTGAAAGTGAAAAAGTGAAAATTTCGAAATTTGGAGCTGTTGGGGCCGGTGGGGATAATTGCCCCCTCGCAATATTTTACTTGTATTCCTTTTGAAAATACCCGTCGAATGAGGGGTCGTTTGTCAAAATCCGACGCTCCGTTCAAAAGTTATAGCCAAAATAAGATTTTCTTCATCTTCCCAAAATGAAAATTTAATTCTGTTTGTCAGTTTGTCAGTTTGTCAGTTTGTCAGTTTGTCAGTTTGTCAGTTTGTCAGTTTGTCAGTTTGTCAGTTTGTCAGTTTGTCAGTTTGTCAGTTTGTCCAAAACATGTTTTTTAAGTTTTGAAAATTTTATATGACGTTCATCACATCGATATAAAAAACTTTTGTTCTACCACTTTTGGAAAAACTCGCTAGTTTAGCGGGAAAACAGCTATAAATAGCTAAAAATCGGAAAGCCGTAACTTCTATACTACTAAAGCTACAGACTTGTGCTGCATCTCGTTTGAAAGGTATTTTTAAATGCTATAAACGCCTTCTATATGCAATTTGTGTAAATGTAATAATTAAAAAAATATGAACAAAAGACAATTTTTTAAAACTTTTTTTTTAGCTTTTTTTTATTTTTCTCAAAAACGGCTCTAACGATTTTCTTTAAAACCTTAAACTGTATAGCCCTTGAGATTCCTTAAATTTTGGTATATAACACATTACTGTAAAAAGTCACGTTTAAAAGTTATTTTTATACGAAAATAGCCACTTTTGCCAGCTCGAACAATTAACGCTCCCTGAGTATTGAATTTTGTGGGAGGGTATCCGAACTGTATTTTAGGGTCATGGAATCAGTAAATTTGCACTTAAGAGTTCCATATAGGAATCTTTTGTTCTACGACTTTTGGAAAAAGCCGCTACTTTAGCGGGAAAAAGCTAAAAATAGCTAAATTTCGTTAGTTTGTAAGTTATTCACTACTAAAGGTACAGACATGTGCTATACCTCGTTTAAAAGGTATTTTGAAATACTTCAACGCCTTTTTAACTTAATTTGTTAAAATACAATAGTTTAAAAATTATGATTGACCAATTTAAATTTAAATGTATATATTAGCTCCTATGAGAGCAAATGTAAACAAACAAAAACTTCTGATATCAAATAAAAACACCTCTTAACGAGGTAAAAAACTAGTGACGACCGCACCTTCAACATACAAAAGTTCTGATATCAACATTTGTGACGAAAAATTATTACACTCGTCATTAAATAGACTTTCTAATATTTTCTCATTCGGCACGCTGCAATAGAAAATGCCTGTGAAGGGAAAAATGCTGGAATAGTTTGCTAGGGCGGGCCGAATGAGAAAATATTAGAAAGTCTATTTAATGACGAGTGTAATAATTTTTCGTCACAAATGTTGATATCAGAACTTTTGTATGTTGAAGGTGCGGTCGTCACTAGTTTTTTACCTCGTTAAGAGGTGTTTTTATTTGATATACTATATATACATCGAGTAACTGATATGCTGTGGCCAAGTGTGTGTGTGGGCGGGTTCTATGATCAAGTGGCTTCTATAAATCTATAAAGTGGAGTGGAGTGTTTGTTTTGTGGACTTTCGCGATAAGGGTTCTTTCGATCGCCTTGCTACTATTGCAAATCTGTTTTTGGGGGGTCAGTCTGCTGGAGAGCTCGTTGCACAATGGCTGCCAGTGCCCTGAATAACTTCTTTGTACTCCTGCTAATCGGCTTCGTGTCCTATGCGGCCCTACAGGTGAATTTCAGATCTAACCGAGATCTAGCAACCTTCTCTATAACTCTTTTTTTTATACTCCCCAAGTTCGCTGTTATTTGGGTCTTGAAATGCTGCTGCGACAGACGGAGAAATTCCCAATTGAGGCGCTGTAAGTTGCACACTGCCTTTTGTTTTGTTTCGCCCGACATCACAGCCGTATATATATCTCGCTATATCTGATATATGGAGCAACGTTTATGGGGTATTGCCAAGCAAACATGGCGGACAATCTAATCTCGGGCGACTAATCAATTGCGTGCCAAACGGCGAACTATGGGTAATACTAGGGCCCAGAAAACGCAGTTGGTGGCTGTAGTTTGGCTTTGATTACCGCTACGGGTCGTTCTAAGTTTCCCTTCTGAGTTCTCATCACAATGCACGGTTCGGAGCCCACGATGGATTGGGACAGTGACTTTGGGCTCCATGTGGCCATCTACATGGCCCTGGTGTTCTTCTTTTTCTGCGTCATCCCACTGGCCTGCTACTACATCCGCGTGGAGAGCCAAACTCTGGCCAAGATCTGCCATCCGCGATGTCGACGTCAGCAGAGGCAGAGACCTGGGATTCGGCGGCGATACGAGATCGGAATTGGTAACGTGTGCCAAAGCCCAAAGTGGGCAGGGAGCCTATCTAATCGGTTGGGCGTGGGGGCGATTATTTTGGCCACAGTCTTCGAGAGTCGCAGAATGGGCCTGACAGCCAATTTGAGCGTGGCGCTGGGCTTTGTGTTTGCCATATTCGTGGTCGCCCAGCTGATATACGTAATTATCCCTATCCCTAGTCGGTTTGATCTGATTCGAGCCGATCGCAGCAGAACAATGGCACCAATAATTGATTTATCTATTCGTTTGATAGCTGGCAAAGCGCATGCACGACTCGTGGGCTCGAAATCGTCGCCAAATACAAGCTGGTACTGATACAGTGTGGATATATGTGGGGAACATTGGGAGAAATATCACAGAAATTGATCATAAAAAGTGGCTTATCAGCGTGAAGTTTCGAGTGTCTTAACTTTATTTCCAGCCATTCAACATTTGACTTTGAAATAACTGTCAAAAAGTGATAAATAGATAGTTGATTAATTTAAAAAGCGGAAATCGCTGAAGTGAAATGGGGAACAGTGCATCCCAATTATAGAAGCTTTCTTCTGATAACATCAAATTTTAAAAAATTACTGGGTTAAAACCTTGTGTTAAAATTGCATATACAAAAATCGTCTGAAGTTAAAGTTATCCAGTAAGGATTTCAAGGTTTTAACCCTTCTTCAAATTTAACAAACGGACAAGAAAAATTAATTAAACGTTAAGATTTTATAAAATTCTGTCCTTAAAATGACTTATTATACCTACATCAAAAATTGATATCATCAGTTCAAAATTAAATTAATTCTTTTAATATTAATATTTATCACTTTTTTAATTATTTTTAATGCCCTATCTAACCACCGAGTATATATATAGCATTACTCACTTATTGTTCTTCGATCTCTTGCAGACCGCCAGGGCAATGTGTTCAGCGTGCCGGAGGAGCCGTCTGGCAACCGCTATGGCGACATATTCTTCATTGAACCTGGCAGCGTGGAGTCCAACCGCATTCGCGACCAGTTGGAGAAGGACGAGAAGGATCTGCCCAGCTACGACGAGGTGATGCGCATGTGCAACCTGACCACGCCCACAGCCGCGCCAGCGGGTACGCCCATTCCCCAATCCCCGCCAGTTGAAGCCGGACCCATTGGGATTGCGGCACTGCCGGCTCCTCCGTACTCGGAGACAGATCCACATGCAACCGCCGGTGAAGCCACTGTCATCGCCATGGAACCGATGGGACCATCCACATCGAGAGCCGCACAGATCCCACCCAGCTCCGGTTCCGGTTCTGGGCCACCTGCTCCTCCTCCGGCAGTGGCAACCGTATGATCCACCGGAGGCTTGGAGAGATGGAACTGAAGCATTCGCCGTGCCACTCTGGGCCACACAGATGCCACTTTGTGTGCGCTTTCAGTACAGTTAATGAACTTGTGTGATCTTATTGAGTACATACCTAGTTAAGTGATAGCGATTAAGTGTCACCTATTGTAAATACATATTTTTAGGATGTAGGATGAAAATTAAAGTGAGTGATTTAATAGAAAATAACTTGGTTTTGACTTGTGCTGATTAAATGATAAATTACTAATATGGGAGTAAATAAGAAATACTTATAACGACTAAATTCAGTAAAACTTTCATATTTAAACAAGAGAGAACGCTATAGTCGGGTTGGTGTCCCGACTATCTAATACCCGTCACTCCGCTAAAGGGAGTGCGAACGCTGTGTCGGGTTGGTGTCCCGACTAATAATCGTAACTCAGCTAAAGGGAGTGCGAGGGAGATAGATATATGTTGACAATTTATAAAGCGTATAACTTTTTAATGAATGGTCCGATTTGAAAAATGTCTTCTACATTTCGATAGGTATAAATATACACAACAAAATTTCATTTATACTTCTCGGAAATCTTTAAAGATGTGGGCGCAGGACGCATTTTAAAATCGTTAGTGGGCGATTGTGGGCGTTAGAGGGGGCGTGGCGCTCGGCTAAAATAAACTTGCGCTGCGTAGGAAGCCAAAGAATATGTGTGGGAAATCTCAATCTTCTAGCTTTTGTAGTTTCTGAGATCTCAGCGTTCATACAGACGGACAGACGGACAGACGGACATGGCTAGATCGACTCGGCTAGTGACCCTGATCAAGAATATATATACTTTATGGGGTCGGAAACGCTTCCTTCTAGATGTTACATACTTTTGCACGAATCTAGTATACCCTTTTACTCTACGAGTAACGGGTATAAAAATTCTTATAGCTGCATAATTAAATTATATTTGTAGGGTTATAAAAATGTGACTACTATTATTTTTACTACTAAACAAATTAAAAATAAAATGTGCTTCTTATTCCACCGTGACGATTTCATAATAGTCACAATTATTTCAAAAATCCATTTGAAATTAAAACAACTGACTCACTTAAAGATGTATCATGAAATTCATTGTGGGTTGATGATCAGTTAAGCTTGAGGTTTTGATGACGCACTACCCGAATGTTCAGCGTGATCATTACCTTATAGTCTACAAACCTCCTGCCAACTTTTGAATTTTTTTAAGCTTACGGTAGACAAGTTTTATTTATTGTTATTAGTTACCAATATGTGTATATGTTTCCTTATATTCATCTTGTATTGAGAAGTCAACAATTATACAGCTAAGCGCAGTGTGAATACCGAGAAAGTACAATAAATTATAGGTGGACTTCAGCAAAACGTTGTAGACTATCACATAGATAAACGGTATTCGTGGGGGCTAAAGCTATTTACAGAGAATACACTTGTAAGATTATAATAAATAGTTGTACGTAAGATCGCAACATAATAATATCCAACGGAAAATGCACAAATGAGAAACACAAATCGGGAATTGTGCAGGACTTGTCCCAATAGATTAAAGAACGATTCGAAACGAACTCGTGAACAGCCAAGTTTTAGATTGCATTGCAATGAGCAACATTCAAAGTTTTCCAAAAGCGCGAGAAGCCTTTAATCGCTGCCACTTATCAGCGACTCCTGTTGCTCGTCATCGTTGACCCTACGTGAATAATTATCCTGTTCAAAAGCAGTTCGTTTAAGCAGAATACAAGACTCACCTCACAATGCTTGGCTTATGGCACCGGCAGACCTTTCTATATACAATCCTAAACAGCTTCATCAGCGGATCGGAGTCGTCGTTTCGCATCAGCAGGGAAACGAAAACCAGGGCCACGAATATGGGTATCGAGCCCATATAGAACATGGGCGAATACGGTTTGTTCTTGAGCAGGACATCGAACATGATGGCCAGCGGAATCTGCAGCGACATGGCCAGCGTGCCAATCAGGGAGGAGGTCAAGAAGCAGCCCCACAGCCACAGAGCCTCGGCCAGCACAGTGCCAATTAATCCATTGAGGAATAGAAGGGCAAACTGCCCCTGGCTGGGCAGCTCAAAGCTTTCGATTTTGGTGAAGTGGAGAATAAAGAATATCGGCCACAATAGCAACAGATTCCACAGACCCACAAAACCTGCAAAAACAGAGCCGAAGATAAGCAAAGATAATAAACCAAAAAAATACAATGACTTGGGCTCACCGAAGAACAAAGGTATATCGACCTTTTCCTCCGTATCGCTTTTTCGCTTCACGAAAACCAAATAAGCGGCATAGAAGAAAGCACTGAAGAGGGCCAAAAGGACGCCTCGCGTCATCTTGGTGTCATGCAGGTCGTTCATGGTGATGGCCACCACGCCGCCAATGTTCATGGCCACCGCAATCACCTTGGTGATGGTCAGCTTGTCGCCCGACGCCGAGGGAAACACGGCCGCCAGGCAGATGATGAAGAACGACGACGTTGAGCTGACCAACGTTATCATGGCCGTCTCGTCCATTTCCAGGGCCAACTGAAAGAAGTAGTTGGCCACGAACCAGAGCAGGCAAAAGAGCAGGGCCGTCTTGGCCGTCTTGTGGTGGGTCTTCTGCCGCCTAATCCTCAAGCTGGCGGCATACGAGAGCCTGGCCATCAAGGCGTCGGTGGCTTCGTGGGCGGACATCTCCCTGACCTCGGCCATCTTGCTGAAGCGCACACTCCGCACACTGGAGTCATCGCTTTCGGTGCCGGAGAGGGAGTTCGAGGTGCCATTGGTGGCAGGGGCAGCCAGATGGGGCGATCTGATGGGCACATAGGTGGGGTCACCCTGGGAACGTACAGATTTAAAGGTTACATAGGTTCCTTGGTAGTGGTTAAACAGATTCTGCTTACCAAAACAGCCTGATTGGAGTAATAATTCTCGTCGTCTGCATTCTGCTCCATCATCTGTTGGATACACAATGTATTAGAGGGGTTTATAATTGGGTCAGCTAATTTCTTACAGCATAGTTTCCATTTTGACGCTCGCAGGACTCTTTCCAGGGAGCCAGGATGCCAATGACTAGCAGGTAAATGCTGAACATGGAGGTCTTAAAGTATGTGCAGAAGAAGGGCTTGTCAAAGTTGGCCTCATTGTAGAGAAACTGTTAAGGGAGATTAAGAATTAGAATTTTTGCGACTATGTGCTATAAGAAATCCTCACCTTTGTCAGCTCGCTGGAGGAGACCCAAACCACATCGACTAGTATCAGTATTGATATGCCCAACACGAGTTTCTGCGTGCGACCTAGCATGATTTTCAGCTTGCTTTTCAAATATATCCCAAAACGATGTCTTTCCCCTCCGGTTATCTGTGGGTAAGTAACTATTTACGCTTGTGCCGCCAGCGTTTCAGTTTCATTTTTGCGACGTTTTTCGGTTCTGCCTTTCGGAAGTGATATAAGTTCCCTGGCCAGTCGATTTAAATCTGGTTTCCAGGCAGATAAACCTTCTGAAATGGGAAATAGGAAAGAGGTAAGTGGGTGGCTTTCGAGGGCGGCAGGGAGCTGCACTTATTGATTTTGATTTGGCCAGTGGGTGCGGCATTATTCAAGGCGCAAACTACCATTTAACACGTTCGATTCGATCGGTTTTGGTCAGGTAGGTAGATTTATCACTCAATTAGCGTCTGGTTCCCCAGATATCCCCATCCAAATTGCGGATTAACGCTGACAGATGCGATCACTGATCACTTGAGTATAAACAAATTAGCAAGATTCCGGGGGGGACTGACTGATAAGATAGCTGGTGATTCCGAAAAACCAATTGTTTGGTTGGTAAATAGAAATACGTTTAAGGGGGCGGAGTGGGCGGCAGGTTGTTGATAACAGCCCAAAAACAAAATCAATAATTGCCAGCAGCGATATGGGAACTGCAAAAAGCAACAAGTCTACTGTTCACCTATTTAATTGCGTTATTATGGGCAGTTTAATGGTTACGCTTGGTTAATTTATGCAGTTTTTACCATTTGTTTCCTCTTTTAAAGGCTGCCCTTTTTTCCTCGTCCAAATGCCGCTGCCGCAGCTGTTTTCTTTGCTTTTTAGCTGGGAAATCCCCTTCTTTGTTCTCTTCCCGAATGAGGCTCAGATTATAGGATCTGGATAGCGCTTTAGTCAGCTGGCTTAGCCTTTTTTAATTTTTGTGCGTTTAATACTGAAATTCTATTCTGATTTCCGATAATTTTTAATAGAGGTGGACCTAAAACGCTCATCGATGTTTGACGGCGGCTATCGGCGTCTCCACATCACTAATAGGGTCTTCCCACAGAGCTCCATCCACCATCTACCATCCGTTGAACGGATGGTCCGTAAGGTTTTGCCGTTCCGAAAATTTCCCAGTTAGTCCGCCATCCAATTTTAACGGACTTTGACGGGCTCTTTTATGCGATAGTTAGGCGATGTTTTCTCGGTGCAACTCTGAATTCTTCCTCTTGACTGTGAAAATTGGAACGATGACTGCGAGAACAAATCAAATCGATGGCGGGATAAAATTAAGTAATAGGGGGATTCCCTAAACTGTTGAATTGCTTAATTGTTGAATTTTGGTCAGCTGTTAATCAGCTGTTCTATACAAAGTCAACTTTCAGAAATTTCAGCAATTCAACAGCCTCGGGGCTGTTGAAAATTTTGTTGAATTGCTGAAAAGCCAGAGTTGTCACCTTTTTTTAAAAGTCGTGGCAACTCTGTAACATTTTAGTATCACCAGTACGCATTATTTATTTTAAAATCAACTTAGAAAGCATATTTGTGGTTCTTTTTACCTTGGTAACACTTTTAGACAGTAACTAGCAAAAATAAATCAAATTTTACATGCTTTAAGTTCCGTGAAACTTTTCAACAAATAACAGCTGTTTGAAAATTCAACAGGAACCATTTTGGGTCGTTCCCTTAATTGCTGAAATTTTTTGTTGAATTTTCAACAATTCAGCAATTCAACAGTTTAGGGAATCCCACTTCTATAAAAAGAGGCTATTATCAGGGTTTCCTAACAGAAATCTTAAGATTAATTTTATTCCCTGTAAACGTTGGAATTACCAGTTTTTTGGCGCTAAAATTGAATTATGTTTGAAAGACTAGCTGAAATTGTCATACATAATTAAAAACCTAATTTCTCATTTAGCTAAAAGATTACAGAGGGTGAAATGGGTTTCCTCATAAAATTAAAAAAAAAACACATTAGCCTTAAGAATTTATTTTAAAGTTTATATCAAATGTACATATATTATAACTGGTTATACATATGTATACGCAAATATATACTTCTAATATTTTTATTTTAAACTTTAAAAAGTCGCAATGCTAGACCTTTAAATAAGAGTCAGTTTAAATAATAGTAATTTAAAGATTGATTATAGATCTATAATTTTGGCCTGATCAACATTTTACATGCCTTGAGAGCCGAGCCCTCTTGCCCAGGATTCCAACGTCCCCACCAAATGCCATCTGAACGGCATAAACTTGTTTTTGAATTTTCGTATCTGCCTGTCAGGCAACTGTAAAAAGAAAGAAAACAATGTTAAAAAGGCTAAAATTTACAATTAAACGCTTGGCTTACCATTGTCTAGTTTCGTAGTCCGGCCACCACCATTGAACTCTATTCAAAAACCTATTCTCATGAGAGACTGTATGTTTGTGTTTTTGTGCATACAAAAATTGTTGATTTGTAACCTTGTGTTCCACGTGATTCCTTAAGGCATCACCAGCGTTTCCCGAATACGATCCTAGTGTTTTTATAGCGTATCCTTCTGAGTTACTACCAACCACAAAGTTATCATATCGTGCGTAAGCTTTCACATTATCAAAATCCTCGAGCTCCACGTACAATTCATGCCTGCGATTTTTTGTTAAGTGATGCAATACTTCAAAACCAATAAAATACTCGCCACTTAAATTGCCAAAGCCGAATTCTCTTAAACAGTTGAAATGAAAGCTTTCACTCCCATCGAAACGTCGAAGAATTATCATCCAATCAGGACCTGCGGTAGTAATATTCTCAAAAACAGCCGAGAACGGATGTTTAAGGCCTTCCGTTTCAATACATCTAATATTAGGTACTTTAGAGTGGTTTAGGATCACCTTTGGAAGATTTGAATTATCGCAGCTATCAAGATTTATAGTGTATTTCGCAAGTCTGTCATCTTTTTCCTTAAGGTTAGCAGCATCTATTTTAGCATTCGATTCCAGTTCAATAATTCGAGATTTAAGTTTGCCTTCTTCAAGTTTGTATTTTTCTGTGGACTCAGCAAGATCATTTTCCTTTTCCATAAGCTTTGTCTCCAAATTCAATATTCTTTCTGAAAGCGTTGCATTCTGCAATTGGCATTCCTCAAATTTGGTTTGCAGCGTCTGCAAATCTTCATTGTTTATCAGATTGGAACTTCTTTCTGCCTGGTTTAATTTCGTCGCATGGTCACTTCCAGTTTTCATTTCTTTTCTTGACTCGCCCTCATTTTGAAAGATGTGGTTTTGCTTCATTAAATCGATCGTAATATTCAACGATTTTATTAAATCGTTCTTATCCTTTAATGAATCCTTGTAGAGCAATATCTTTTCCTCTAGACTCGATTGATTTTTCTTAGAGTCTGCTAATTTTTTCTTTAGCTCATATACTGTTTCATTGGTATTATTGGTCTCATTTATGCTTTCGATATCGGAATCGCTGCTGTGCTGAAACATTAATTTTTTTTTAAGTAATGACCGAATTACAATTTGTTTCTAAACTTACCGACGATGCGTCCGTAGCTAAAGATCCACTCTGCTCATTTGATGCCATATTTAACATATCTTTTCTCATGTCAACAAGTTTTTATTCTATTTTCCAACCTAAGTTTGTGATCATATAAAACTACAAGTAGTTTTAAACAGATTAGTCCGCGAAGATGTGAACACATTGAGCAACCAATTCGTACTGCTTCTAAGACTGTATGTCTCCGACTTTTTATACAGCTCGAATTTGTATAGGCTTTTTTCTACCAGTGGTAATTTTTAATCCTAAGCAGATGGTCACTAGGTCCTAAGCCATCAATTTTTATTTGGATAAATACGCGAATTAGTGGCAGATGCAGGTTTAACCGATAATTACCTATTCTACCTGCTTTGGATAGGCAGGTAAAATTAAGATTTCTATTTAACCTATTAGGCACATTCTGGGAAAGTACTTTAAAAATTTTAAAGCCTTTTAAATTTTCAAATAATTCTGTTGAAAAAATATGTCACATCTTGTTACCTGCAAGAATTCAATTAAAAACGCTATTTTTGATTCAAGGAAGAATATTTATTCCACGCTCTGTGCAATACACTTATATAAATACATATATATTGAATACAAAATATCTTTGCTCCTCTCTCTGAGTGTGTGTGTGTAAAACATGTTGCAAAATTTGTAGGGTTAGCACAAAGATTCAATAATATATTAATTATGCTGTTAAATACATAAACAAAGTTTAAATGCGTTCGATTTCAGTTTTTGAAGTATTCGATCGTTCAAGATTGCGTTATTTGTTTTTTTACTTTTTTGTTGAAGAGTACATAATTGTGTGTTTTCTGATTTGGTTATCATTTGGATACTTTTTAGCCAGCATGCACAGACTGAAATGAAGAGAAAGGAAACGTAAAGTGAATCGAAATCAGGGAATCAATATCGCAAAACAAGGCTCAAATCGAACAAAGGAAGCAAACTAAATCCGCGTCCTCATTTGTCTACCAAGTCTTTTGATTGCCATTTGTTTTGGTTTCGTTTGGGGTCGTCGTCGTCGTTCTTCATCCCGACGAGCTTCGAATAAGGCTTCGAAGTTAGATAAATTCAGAATTGGAACGTACCCGAGCAATGTCCACGCCGGTTATGTTCTTGACCAGCTCTGGCACTTTGTTGACGATCGACAGGACCTCGCCGGTCAGCTTGGCGGCACCGATATCGCCGTTTCCGCTGGACACCATCGTGATCTTCTTGGCCTGGGACAGCGGAGCAGCCACCTCGGCGGCCACCTGGAGAAGAAGATTTAGAATTTAGTAAAAACCAGATACATTTTAGGACCCTTCATCCCACCTTTGGCAGCGTGTCCAGGAGCATTTCCACCATGGCTGCTTCGCGGTACTCGCGGTAGGCCTCTGCCTTCTGGGCCATCTGCTCGGCCTCCGCCTTTGCCTTGGCGGCAATGGCAAAAGCCTCGGCCTCGCCGCGAATCTTAATCTGCAATAGAAGAAGGATTAGCTATGGGCCAGATTCTATCCACATTTTTAGGTGGTCTCCTACCGATTCAGCCTCTGCCTCGGCTTCCATGACCACGCGCTGCTTGTTGGCCTCGGCCAGCTTCTCCATGCGGAACTTCTCCGCCTCGGCCGGTCGCCGGATGGTGGCCTCCAGCTCCCGCTCGCGACGCATGATCTCCTGCTCCTGCACGGCAATCTCCTGGGTGCGCTCGATCACCTTGACCTGCATCTGCTCCTCCTTGATGCGCTGCTTGGTCTTGGCCGCCTGCAGCTCGTAGGCCATCTCAGCCTCGGCCTTTTTGGTCTGCACCTCCACATCGTAGGCGGCCTTCTTCAGCTCAAAGTCGCGCTGCGCCTTGGCGATGTCGGTGTCGTTGAGGAATCTGGCAGCCATGCGCTGCTCCTCGGCAATTGCCTCCTTAATATGGGCCTCCGCACGGGCCTCAGCCTCGCCAATCCTTGCATCTCGCTTCACCTCCGCCGTGCGGGCCATGCCCAATGACCTTAGATAGCCCTGGAAAAGGAAATTGAGAACGGGGAGTCAGTGTCCCGTTTATCCGAAAAGAAGCAAGAGAATGCGGCACGTTTCCCAACGATTCCACACACAGGCGGTTCAGCGGTCATACGCACCTTTGAGTCGCCCTACATTGGATCCATGTGGACATGCAAGAAATATATATATATATACACATATACAAGAGGTTATTAGGGAATAAGGCACTAGAAGCCAGTACACAGTGATGGGAATAGATTACTTAAAAATAATGCTTTAAAAATATAGTTTTCTAGAAATTGTTATAATACTAATTTGTGCTGTTCCTTAGAATCTCATTAAAAACTCATTAAAAAAATAAAATAAATTTAAGGTAGCAAAATGTATTACCCAAAATAAATATTTATATATTATACATAGCTAGTTCCCATCACTGCTGATGATTGGGTTAGTTTTGCAGGGTTTATGGCCATTATTAGATTAGACTAGAACTACGCACCTCCTCATCGCGCAAATCCTTGATGGTGTAGGAGACCACGGTAATTCCCATGTTGGCCAGATCGCTGGAGGCCACCTCGAACACCTGCTTGCTGAACTTCTTGCGGTCCTTGTAGATCTCCTCCACGGTCATCGATCCCATGATGGCACGCTGATGGCCCTCCAGGGTGACCAAGGCGATATGGTTGATCTCCGCCTCCGTTTTGCCCAAAAACTGCTCACAGGCGGTGAGCAGCATGTCCTCGTTCTGACCCTGGACCTTCACCTGGGCGATTCCCGTCACGGAGATTGGCACTCCTTGGCTGGTGTACACGCAAGGACTCTCCACCTGGAGGGTCATGGTGTTCAACGAAATTCTGTGGGGGGATAAAGAAAAATTACTTTTTGGAATTTCATAGAAAATGTTATCACTACACACAAAAAAATTTGCTTGGTAAAATTGACCAACAAAGATAGTTACGTAACTATTAAAATAGTTACGTGTATTTTGTTTTTGCTTTGGGTTTGTGTCTTTGCTAATTGTGTGTATTTTGTTGTTGTGAAATGACTATTTACTTAGTAGAATTGACAATTTTGCTGGTTGGGGCCTGTTTGACAATTATTACAGTTGATTTTACCAAGTTTTTTTTTTGTGTGTAGGGATTCAAATCGTTATTTGAGATTCAAATCAGATTATGCAAAATGCTATCTTTTAAATGATAAAGTCGATATATTTGCTTACAAAATTCTGAAGAATTTGCGAACATGAAGAATATCTACTGAAGAATTCGCGTTAAAATTTTTAGAAAATAGTAATTTTTTTGGAAATTATACAATATAATTAAAAAATAATTATTAATTATTAATCTGAATAAAATTAATTGGTAATTAATTGTTAAAAAGCTTAGAATAAACATTTTGTTTGAATCCCTGGTAAAAAAAAATGTTGTATACCCACCGCTGAACCTGCTGGATCGTGGGCCATACGAAGGCGCGACCTCCCGGCACCAAAAGCGGCTTCATGTAGCAGCATCCTGCGGAGAAATCGAACAAAAAACACTTTGTTTACAAAACATTGCAGTATTTTGGATTACAGCATCACAACGCCGTTTAAATGCGCGCGCATGGCTTCGGAGTGCTTCCTCTTCCTACTGTTCCTATCGTTCTCTTCTTCTTCTTCTAAGCGGTACACAAAAATCGATAGTGACGTCATTAGGGGTGGGGTGCGTGTGGGTGTGCGTCTGTGTGAGTGCCCATTTTATTTATATTCGCCGAATTCTTTAATTAATTCGCCAATTGGTCGCGTTTTCGAGTATATAAAGATTTACCGGAGACCACTAGCGCCTCGTTGGGCCCGCAGGTCACGAATCCCCAGGTCATTTTTGGACCGCTCTTCGATATTTCCCTCTCAACGATGACTGATAACAGCCGCTCTTCTGCGATTGTTTTATTTACGCTTGGTTCTTTAGAGTTCGGGTTTTAGCAGGTTTAATTGCTATATAGGCGATCCACAGGTCTTGTTTATCGGTCCAAATATACAAAATCACTCCCGAGGGACTCGGAACGAAAAACGCGACCGGTTCGGTGAACAATTCGTAGCACAATAAAACTAAAAACAGCTCTCTCAATCAATTGAAATATTCTCATTCTCTAATTCTCGATTCGCGTGTGCGCAGCTCTACTTTGGCTTAACCCCTATCCTGTTAAGTGGAACCGAACAGACCTCTCAAATAATCATCATGGTAAGTTATTTACTGTCTTATTTTCCTAGAAAGCTACGTAGGTTGCATATGTATAAAATGTTATATCGTAGTTTCCATATAAAAAAAACGAGGACGGAAGCTAGCTTCGGCAAGCTGAAATTTTAATACCCTTGCAGATTTTACGAATTAAAATTTGACTAGAATAGCAACATAAATTCTTTAAAATTAAATAAAAATTAAAAAAAAAAAAAATCAGAAAAACTTTGAAGATATTCAGAATTCTAAACAGAAACTGGGATATTATTTTTAGGGCCATGATAAAATTTAATTTTAGTAAAGTAAACAACATTTTTCATGCACGTTATGTATACAAACGAATTCTTCTTTATTGGTCTACGGAATTATTTGTTACATCTCAAAGTATGGATCGTAAATTTTAGTAATTAATTAATGTTTAAAACGTTCGCTTTCTTTTCCGTGGAATAAAGCCGATTTCATATCTTTATCATTCATTCTTGAAACCAGAAATCTGGAATAGTTCTTGAGAATTCGAAACAGAAAATGCGACTTAAAATAATTGTATCCGTGGATACATTTTTCTTTGGTGCACACTCATACGAACAGTAGACATCGCCTAAGGGAAACTTTGACAATTTCAAATATTTTTTTTTAGATCTTAACGAATGATTTGATTAACGCAAAGAAAGGTTTTGAAATGAGATCTTTATAAAATCAACCCGTGATAAAACTTTAACGATTAATTTGGCAGCTAAAATGTCACATTGGTAAGGATTGTCATTAATCAAACTTCGCTAAATGTTCTGCTTGGGTAGTTGAGACAAAATAAAACGAATAATAATTAAGGACAGTTTATCTTAGTCTACAGTCGACATCTACTGCATTTGGGGACACGGCACACAATCATAGCTTTCGGCTTAGGTCTAATCAAAAAGGAAAAAGGCATCTCCCCTTCGTTTCAGTGGCCCGAGGAGCTGCTGTCCGTGAAGTAGGGATGCTGCATGGCGGCCTCGGCGCTAATCCGCTGATTCGGCCGGCAGACGAGCAGCTTTTGCAGCAGGTCGCGACCCTTGGAGTTCAGCCTAGGCACCAGTTGGCTCCACGAGGTGATGGCCGGAAAGGCTGTGGATTAAATAGGATTAAATATCGATTAAATATCAGTGGTTAACCAATAAGTTGGCTGCCCTACATGGAAGCGCCACGTAGTCGGAGAGGTGCGAAACACCCGGCCAGGAGTCCTCGTTGGGGGTGCCCAGCACGCGGAAGATCTTCATCAGCTGGTCGAGTACATCGGAGCCGGGGAACAGCGGTCGTCCAGCGTCCGCCAGCTCAGCCAAAATGCATCCGGCCGACCACATGTCGATGCTGGTCGTGTATAGCTTGGCTCCGAACAGGACATCAGGTGGCCGGTACCACAGGGTCACCACTTCGGCGGAGTAGCACTTCACGGGAATGCCGAAGGCTCGAGCCAGACCAAAGTCAGCCAGCTTCAGCTCGCCGTTCTTGTTGATCAGCAGGTTCTGCGGCTTCAAATCCCGATGCAGGACATTGTGGCTAGAAGAGTATATATTCTCGATTTAGTCTGCGAGTTTAAGGTGAAGGGATATCCTTTTGTGGATATCCTTAAGCCATACCTGTGGCAGAAGGCAAGGCCGCGGAGTAGTTGCAGCATGAAGCTGCGGCAGACGGCCATGTCGATCTCCCCGTTGAGGCTGTCGAAGTACTTTTTGAGGTCCTGGTCGCAATGCTCGAAGACCAGGGTGAGTTTCTTGTCCGAATGCAGGACGTCTATCAGCCGCACGATGTTCTTGTGCTTCAGCTCCTGCGGGTTAAGGTTGGGGCGGAATCAGATGAGTTGGATTCAGATCCTGTCCTAATCCTAATCCTAAGACTCACCTTCAGCAGGCAGATCTCCCGGAGGGCGGAGCTGGGCACACCCTCGTCGTCCTCGTCCAGTCGCACCCGCTTCAAGGCCACTATCTCCATGGTGTCCCGATTGCGGCCCTTGAACACCGTGCCGTAGGTGCCCTCCCCGATCTTCTCCATCTTGTCGTACTTCTGCATCCTGCTTCCTGGAGGGGATTATTCTCTTTGGCTTAATAAATAGTAAAAACTCCGAGGATTATTATTTTTGCAGTTTGTTTTTGCTGCCAGCGATTCGTGCGCCTAACAGCACGCTGTTACTGGCTTACAGCACTCTGCCAGTGGCTTACAGTGCAGCTGGCATTCGGCTGTTGCAAAAAATACCGAAATATACCAACAAGTACTAATTTCAAAAAGTGGTTTTTCAAACAATTTAAATTGAAAAATTCTTTTAAATTACTTATATTGGGAATTACTAATGATAAAAAAACGTTAAGTTCTCAAACATTAAACAGAAAGTCTCAAAAATGCATAGATACAATTTGTTGTCCTTTCTTTTCTTATAATATTTCACAGAATGACAACTTTGATCTGCTGCGTCTGCCAGATGATGTCCTTATCCTTATTTTTGGTAGTCTGGATCGGCGCACCCAACTGATGTTGACCGGCTTAGCTTCCCACTTCATGCAGATAATGCCCCAAGTCTGGCGATCTAAGTACAGATCCCTCAAGCTGTCGGGGGAAAGTTGTGTTATGTGCGAAATGAATTTCGAGCTTTTTTTGGGAAGCCTGCGGAGCACTTTACGTGTGCTGGTAACGGACAGTCTGCCCCGAATAAACTACGACATTCTCTTTGGCTTTGTGTTCCCCAATCTATATGAATTTGGTTGCGAAGCATATTGTTTAGATGATTCAGATATCCCCAAAATGATTAAAGCATTTCCCAACTTGAGAATCTTCAGACCCCGAGGGCAGTTTACTGGCAAATACATGGACGAATTTCCGTTATTGGAGGATTTAACGGTGACCAGCAAGTTCCAGCCCACCTATTTTATTCAGATCCTTAAGACTCAAAAGCTTAAGCGTCTAAGATTCCAAAACCCTCTTACTGAGGAGATGAAAGCAATCGGTCTGCCTCTCGAAAGCTTGAAAAGCCTAGAGGTCTTGCAGTGCTACAGTGGTGAACTGGAGAGATGGTTTCTAACGAAGCTGGAACATCTTACTTACTTGAAGCAGATTATTCTATGTGATTCTCCATGCAGCATCGACAATGTGCTGCTGTATGCAAAACGAAGAAAAATCAAAATGATAGAAATAACGGCGAGCTGGTTTTTGGTTCATGTTCCAAACCTTAATGTTCAATGCAAGACCTTGAAGGTGATATCTTATCGTATGTGTTCATATAATGGGTGCTTTGAAAATATAACCGAAGTATTTGCCATGAATTGTTTTATCGAAAACGAGGAGGTATTTCAAGCAATGTTGCAAAATTTAAAGACATGTGAGATCCTGGGGCTTTTGTGCTGCCGCTTTCGATTTAGAGAATTTACATTTAAGGCACGGGAGATTGGCGTGAACCGTCGTACAAAACTTAATCTCCATTTGGAAAAAAAAAGGGCTGGAGTCGCCAACTTTCTGAAAAGGTAGGGAGTCTAAAGTAATTTAAATTCCCAATGTTAATACTTTTGTTAATAGGATTATTTTGCTTCAATGACCTGGAAGATGGAAGGCGAACATAATAATTTTCAGCTGCACCTGGATCATCCAAAAATCACTTTCAATTCGAAACCACTTGAAATTTATTTTGACTAAAATGTTTTGCTAAACTGATATGTGAGCAAAAGCTTTTTGAATGCGAATTGAATTTATTTTAGATAAAACATTTTTAAGTTTGTATTTCATGAAAAAATCCATTATGTGTGTTATTAAGATAATGAATACTTATAACCACATTTAATGTTTATTAAAGACGTTAATTAGTTTTATTTACAGTTATTCAATGAATAATGCCTCTTTTTTATAGTAAGAATCAGACCATAATTAGACTGTAAGAATTTAAAATAAATGAACTTGTCAAAACTACTTAAAGATGTTGTTTTGGGGAGCCACAAAATTGGCAATTGACGATACAGCAGCATACGTAATTCAAAGTAAAGGTAAAACCAACATTTCTTAACTTTTTATTTGTAGAATACCAAGGCTGGCTTATTAAGCCTGCCAGACGATGTCCTAATTCTCATCTTCCAATATCTGGAGTTGCCCACCCAGCTGATGTTGACAGACTTTCATCCTCGTTTCCTGGAAGTAATGCCCCATGTCTGGCGTTCTCGGGATAAATCTGCTAATCTCTCCCTGATCGAAATGCATCTGAGCGACAAGGATCTTCGTTTCTTCCTGGAAAGCACTCAACGATCGCTCAATGCTCTACGATTGAAGATGGAAAAACAATCAAACTTTGATATTTTCACCGACTATGTGTATCCGAATATGAAAGATTTTCGCTTTTCAACGCATTCGTTTTCGTTGAATGACTCTGATTTACCGAAAATGATTAGGAGTTTACCTAATTTGACGACTTTCAGTCCTTATGGAAAGCTTACAGGGCAACATTTTGAAGAATTCGAATTTCTGGAGAACCTAACGCTTTCGTATTGCAGCAAAATGCAGGTCAGCAAATTGATCGACATTCTGAAAGTCAGAAAGTTAAAAAGTCTGAAACTAGCCCTTTTTGATGAGAATCACACCCAGATGACCGATTTGCCCTGGGAAGGGATAAAAAACCTTGAGTTGCTGCAGTGCTACACCTGGGAATTGGAGAACTGGTTCCTACCAAAACTGGGAGCTCTTAAGGACTTGAAGCAGATCATTCTATGTGATCACGATGTGGATGGTTTTCTCCAGAGAATCCTGATGTCTGCAAATCGGAGTAGTATCAAAATGATCGAGATAAATGCGGGAATGCCTTTTTTCCATGTGATTAGTCTAAATCTAAATGTCCCTTGTAAGATAATGAAGGTGGCAAGTTATCATTTTTATTCATACGCAAGTTGTTTTGAAAATATTTTTGAAGTTCATTTAATAAGGTGCCACTTCCCCAAGAAGGCTGCCTTTGAAAATATGATGCAACATTTAAAGGCTTGTGAGTACCTGGGACTTGAGTACTGCAATTTTTATTTTAAGGAAGTCACACTTGTAGCAAGGGATATTGGCGAGGACCGAAGCACAAAGCTCAATATGCATTTGTACGAAAACGTATACCAAAGTAACAATTTCGTGGTGAGTGCTTAGCGTTTGTATATTGCTTACATATTTCACATTGCAATGCTAATTTCCTCCTTTATAGGATCACGATCTCGACATCACATGGACTGTGGAAGGCGAACATAGGTTTTTTCAGCTGCACATGGACCACACAAAAGTCACTTTAGACTGCCATCCAGTTTCTATTTATTTTGAATGATATAAGTAATCCTAAATTAATAAATAAACTGCCATTTCAGCTTTTTAGAATGGTGATATAGTATAATATTATTATATTAATTAATAATTTTCCAGGACAATACCTGTTCTATGGACAAAGAAATAATTTTTTTGTATTTTTTAAAGTGGCTCTTAAACGGTTTTTTGACGTGAAGGTTACAGAAAACCACCTAAGAAAATGACGGAAAAAACTGTCGCGTGCGACATGTAGCGTGTGACTGTCACTTCGATGCCAATAAAAAATTAACCGCTCAATATTTTGTAATCAAAACAAATACATTTTAAAGAAGAAAGAACAAGGAACACCATTAAATTAACTGCATTAAAACATTCCTTCACGTTTCGTTACAATCGAAAGTTAAGCAGGAAGTAAAAAACGTCACTTCTATTGGTGTCGCGTGCGAAAGTCTTGGTTTTTTTTATATATCTTAAAAACGAAAAATGTCCCCAAGTCAGCCCTAGTACGTATTTTAGTGCTAATCAAGACCTTTAATTTGAGCCTAGTGCCAAAAGAAAAGAAGTACTGGAAGATGGTTTTTTCACCTGCAAAGCGTACGAACGTCGCGTGCGACAGCAGAGAATTCAATATTCAATAGAGAATACTCACTTAAGTTTTCTCCTCCGCATGTTCAAAAAACCCAAGTTCCGCTTTCTCGTTCGCATGTTAAAGTTGCAGTATAAAGGTTTGCGGGATAAAGGTTTTATCCCGACTTTAAATTTAACATGGGGACGAGAGAACGGCCCCAAGAGTAGGTTATAAACTGTGTAATCCACAATTGTGTAAAATAAATATAAACGACAATATTAACTTGAAATTAAATTAGTTCGGCTTGGAAATCGATTGGAAAGCAGCGTGACTAGAAGGCTTCTCCATCTCGAAGACCTTCCCAGTTGCAATCCGTTAAAATGAAAATGGTAACATGGTTGTGCATGGCGATGCTCCTCGTTGTCCCGGGATTATCTTTAGTAAGGAATTTCAAAAAGCCCACTCCCACGAGCGGTTTGCTCTATCCGCAGGACTCGGAGACGCGAGAAGTGCGATCGCTGGACGGGATCTGGCGGATGGTGATGGGTTATCCCGCTGGTCGCGGCAACGAGAGCTTCGAGAAGGGTCTCAGCCAGTCGGGTCACCATGTGATACCCATGGCGGTGCCCGCCTCCTACAATGACATCCCCGTCAGCCGATCCTTGCGCGACCATGTGGGTCCAGTTTGGTACGAGCGAAGCTTCTTTGTGCCCGCCTCCTGGGATCGAAGGCTGCGCACGTGGCTGCGATTCGGAAGCGTCCATTACCGCGCCGAGGTCTGGATCAACGGACAGCACGTCCTGCGGCACAGCTCCGGCGGACTGCCCTTCGAGGCGGACGTGAGTGGCGTGGTGAACTTCGGCGGCGACAATCGGCTGACTGTGATGTGCGACAACCGATTGGATAACTTCACGATTCCCCAGGGCGTGCTGCATGAAGATTCGCGGAGGCAGGAGTATGCCTTTGACTTCTTCAACTACGCCGGGATCCACCGGAGCGTTCTGCTGTACTCCACGCCCCTAGTCTTCATCAGCGATGTCTCCGTGACCACGGAATACACCTCCAAGGAGGTGGGCATTGTGCGATATCGCCTTTGGTTGGCTGGCAAATCCACGGGTAAGACGAAGAGAAACTACTATGTGCGAGTACAGCTGCAGGATCAGCAGGGTGAAGTGGTGGCCCAGAAGGTGAGCAGGCATCCCTTCAAGGGAAGACTGCGTGTGCGTCATGCCCGAGCCTGGTGGCCCTATCTCATGGATCCCCAGCCGGGATATCTTTACCGGCTGCAGCTGGAACTCTTTGAAGGCGATTCGCAGGCGGAAGAGTCCGAGGACGATGACCGCGTGGATGTCTACCGGTTGTCCGTGGGCATACGCAGCCTGAAATGGGACAATAATAAGCTGCTTCTGAATGGAAAATCCCTTTATCTGCGAGGCTTTGGTCGCCACGAGGACTCCGAGATCCGCGGCCGGGGTCACGACAATCCCCTGATGCTGCGGGACTTCAATTTGCTCCGCTGGATGGGAGCGAATGCCTATCGCACCTCGCATTATCCCTATTCCGAGGAGTCCATGCAGTTCGCCGATGAGCAGGGCATCATGATTATAGATGAGTGTTCAGCGGTGAATTTGGATGGGTTTAATCCAGTTCTCCTGCAGAATCACATGTCGGTGATGGAGCAGCTGATCCACAGGGACAGGAATCATCCCAGTGTCATTGCCTGGTCGCTGGCCAATGAGCCCACTTGTTCTTCGCAGTCCGCTGAATACTTCAAGTAGGTTTGGGGGCGGGATTAGAGGGAATAATCAGTTAATCATAAACTTTTTCTTTTAGAATTCTGGTGAACTTCACCCGAAAGTTGTCGCATGGTCGTCCATTAACCGCTGCCCTTGCCACGCCCACCGATGAAGCGGATATGTGCAAGTTAGTAGGACTGCTGGACATTTGGGGCTTCAATCGGTATCATGGTTGGTACGCAGATCCTGGCAGACTGGAAAAGATCACAGATCCTGTTGTAGAAGAGGCCAAAACATGGCGGAATCTCACCAAAAAGCTGGTGATTATGATGGAGTACGGTGCGGATTCCATAGGGATTTACCAATCGGTAGGGGTAGCCTCCTTTGGAGTATCTTTTTCTATACGGCTTTCCTCTCCAGTTGCCTTCGGTTATGGGTTCCCCCGACTTCCAGCGGCATCTGTTCTCCAAGCATTTTCAGGCCTTCGATAAATTGCGTGAAAATCCCTGGTTCATCGGCGAGTTTGTGTGGAACTTTGCCGACTTCCAGACGGCCCAGTGTGAGTCGTGCTCCTCCATCGGTTGATTATGGTCTAAATTTAATATTTTTTTAGCTTATACAAGAATTGGAGGCAACAGGAAGGGCATCTTCACCAGGAGCAGGCAGCCCAAGGAGGTGGCTTATCTGCTGAGGCGACGCTACTTTGGTCTGGCTCACAAACTGCACAAGGCCAAGATGCCCGGGAATCTGGAGGAGTATATAGTGGGAGAAAGGTGGGTTGAATGCTTCTTGACTACGTGTCCTTATAATCCCGCGTCCTTTCCTTCTACAGCAATCCTTTAAAGCACGAGGATCGCGAGTCTGGCGAGGATTTTGAGCTGTAATACGAAATACATTGGGTTTATTGAGACTTTGGAGTGGGTATTCTTTAGAGGGATTATCTTAGGAACACAGATCGATTTCAGCTTTTTCCTGCTCCGTCATGGGCTCCACGACCTCCAAACAGGCATTGGCGAACTCCACGAAGAGGGGCTCCTGCATGGCGGCCGTCATGGCCGACTGGGCATTGATGGCCACATCGATCTGCTGGAGAAGGGAGCGCAAATGGGGATTGTGGAGCAGGTTGAGCAGATTCTGGTTGGTTTCTGTGGGATAAAGTCATATAAATACAGTGATTTTAGGGGAACTGGGCTTATAGCAAATCCACCTAATTGCTGTAGCTTCTCCGCGGGAACCGTGTCATCGGTGGTGAAGGGCACATGCAGCGTGGGTTCCTCCTGGAAAGCATTTTCCTCCTTTTTCAACTCCAAAATGTTTCTCACACATTGCGGCGAATCCTTGTGCTCTTTATAACAGGCCACAGAACAGCTAAAATTGGGATGTTTTCAATCTTTCAGTTGAAATTCATAACTTATAGTAACTTACTAAGGCGCCTCGCACTTGCTGCATTTATATTTCCTCGTGTTTTCCTCGCAATTTATGCAGTTTTCCATCATTTCCCAAACCAAACAAAACTAGCGTGCAAAATAAAAAACAGCTGTGCTAGTGTCACAGCTGCCAGCTTTTTATAGACCTCAGAGTTCCCGGCCGTTGCGGCTTGTTTGTAACGGCGTTCTGCTTTTGGCGGTAGAGAATTACAAAATTAATGGCAAAACGCAAAATGAATAGCAACAGAATACGCATTAAATCGCGTGGCTGCATGACAATTTAGTTGGAAAGTAATGCAAACAGGATTTATAAGGCGAGTGTAATAGAAATAAATTGAAATATTATTGACAGATAGACTTTCACGTTTTAAATTACTTTTTGTAACTGTCAGTTGTCAATATATTTTTATTTGAATTTCAAACGTTGTTCATCGTTATGAAAACTAATAAAAATTTTATTTATTTTATTATAAAATCCATCGAAATTCCATCGAAAATAAGTTTGGATCTGATATTCCTAATGGTTGTAAATAGGGATTGTGAAATCGCCATTATAAATCTTTTCACTTAGTTTAATTTTTGCTGTAATACGGTACTTACATTAGTAGTACTTACATTTTTATTTCATAATCAGAAGTAAAAAAAGTGTGTTTTATTTTTTACAATAAAGTCAAAATGAAATCCACAGAATGGAATAACTTAACGTCCACAGATTGTAAGAACGAAAAAAGAGCCCATATCTGTCAATAAAAAAAAACATACGATTAGAGGTGTGCTTGGTCAGATTAAGGGAGACATAGAGCCGTGCTCTGCCCTTTTCCGGTTACGGCTAGGTTTATTTGATTGTATATATCCTGTGAATCCTGTATATCCGGTCTTGTTTGCTTTAGCCAGTCTCATTTATGGGCCATCCCGGGCACGTCATCTTCCGTGCGGCTCCTGAGCAAACAAACGAGGACCGCTTATCATGGTAGCCTCCCCATTTCCGCCCTATAACCACCGCAGCCCCAACTAGCTTTCTCAATCCTCAACCCTCCCCACCAATGCGCAGTCTGAAGCCACCTGGCGAATTAACCGAGAATTCGACAAGCGAGAGGGGAGCAATCAAATGACGGTCGGCGTGTCCACAAATTGTAAACATATCCTGCACACGGAATGGAACGGAGTGGAACGGAATCCGAATCGGAATGGACCTTCCCGCCAAGGAGTCGTCCAGATCCGCTCCAGCTCCAAAGACAAGTACAGTTGGCGAGGAGCAAAAACCAAAAATAAAATAATGAATGGCCGACCGACCGAAGATGGGAATACCCTTCATTTCGGTAAGAATCTATCTTTATCATAAAAACTTTATCTTATACAAGCGAATACCTAACTGATTTCTAAAAATAAATCTTAATTTTCTTCTTTGTAAAATAAATTATACTGGTTTCTTATGACATCCATTCTCATTTACCCTTTCTGTGATATGATCTAGTAATACAATACTTCTTATTCAGTACAGTATTGTGTTAGAATCAATATTAACTGCCATATAGTACCTAGAAAAAAGTGTTTTGTTCTTAAAAGTATTGAGTAGTTTTACCTTGATTTTACGAACGTTTACTCTCGAAAAAGGATAAAACAAATTTGCAGCTGGAGAACATTTAAGATTGTCTTTTTCCGTTCTCAAATTTAATATTTTATCTTTATAAGATTATAAGATTTTTTTTTATCCCGAATTATATTTTTTGAAAATGAGCTAGACCTTTGGGATAAATCCTAGGAACATATATTATAATCGAAACACTTAGCTTATAATGAGTGTTGCGTTCCTTAATAACCCCTGCTAGGGTATCGCAAACAGCGAAAAACTTTTGGTGGCAATAAATGACTTCAATGACTGACTGACTGACCGGAAGGGGGTGGTCTAGGTGCATGGCTGCATGTGCGGGGAGGTCTGGGGGAGGAATCTTTTCCTCTTTCTTTTTTGTTGCCATATTTTTTGGGGACTTGTAGCCACCGGACTGTTTGTTGTTATTTTCAATGGTTTTTGCTTTGTTTTGGGTGCTACCAATTGGATTTCACAAAGAAAAAAGAGTAAGGAAAGGATGCCGGGGAGCAGAAAAAAAGAGTGGGGAGAGGGGGGATAAGAGGGATAGGGGGCATGGAATCGGACCGGGTAACATGATGTGGCGCCTCTGCCGCTTCCGCTGTTCGTGCGGCACAAGCGCGATAATTGCCAGCGTTATCCGCTCGGCCTGCCAGTCAAATAGGCGCAGCAGCAGAGGCTCCAGCAGAAGGGGGCCCGAAAAGGGGCAGCAGGGAATTCCGGGGGTAGGAAGACCCTTCGTGTGACTCGCCTACTTTTGATTTACAACATTCGTGCAACATCAGCAGCAGTGTATCGCCAAAAGGAAAAGGGGCAACGGCAAACGGCGACCAATGCAAACAGCAAACAGCAAGAAGAAAAGCGAGACACACGCCACCAAATGGGGCAGATGGGTTTTTCGGGGGGGCGACTGGCTTTTCCGAGGGCAGGTGTCGTTCGTTAGGAGTTTTCAGCGTTTTCCATTCCCAGCTTTTCCCTTCCAGTTACCCGTTACCCGTTACCAGTTACCAACTACCAAAGCCGCCAGCGAAAAAGCTAAAAGCGATATTAATAGATAGCGGCACTTTTCTCTTCGTTTTTATCGCCCGAGAAAGCCAAACGAGGAAAACACGGGAAGGTGAAAAGAAAAAGAATGGGGAAGAGATAGTCCTGAAATTGGGCAGATTGACAGATCATGCAATCATAGTGGCACAGCGTTTATAGTGCATATAATGAATATTAAATTACATGCAACACATCTGGCTTTGGCAGTCGAACTTCCTTACCGCGAATTTTCCGAACAAAAAGGTTTGGGGTTTTTTTTAGATAACTTTTTTGTATAATGCTTAAGTGTATAGATAACCAAACAGACCATAAAACTATACCCAATAAAATAGATTACCTTAAACCTGATAATTATAAGAATTATAATTCTTTTTACTCATTTTTAGAAAATATTTTAAAATCGTCAACTTTTATTTAATTTTTAACAAATTCTTACGAAGTAATAATTAAAATAAGTCATAATAAAAATAAAATTAATTCCAATGTAAAAGAAACCTTGTTCTCATCTTGTTTAACATTTCTCCGTACAGTTTTCAAGGTGCGAAAGCTATTATTATTTTTTTACAATGTAATAAACGGTCATCTATTTATTTATATTGAAATTGAAAAAAGGATTAATTATGTAACTAAAGTAGCATTTAGAGAAGAGGATCTGTGGAGTTTTCTAATTTTTTTTTGTTTTATCAGGTTTAAAAAAATTGTAAAAAAGTATTATAATTACAAAGTAAAAATAAATATAGACATGAAAAGTACTCTACTTAGATCCTTGAAGAAATATTATAAGAAATGTTGGATAATGATGTAAAAGTACATATTATCTGTAACTTATGGACCTTTAGCTTGATCCCCATTTAGCGAGGATGACCTGTAGTTGTTCTAGGTGGACGCAGGCATGCAAACGCGACATCTGTCAGCCGATTCGATTGGAATTCCCCGGAGCCATTGGATAGTGGACTAGTGGGTCATCAAAAGGATTCGAAAATAATTCGAAATTCCGAACGGATCCCGGGAGACATTAACTATCAGCAGGGGACTCGGATTCGAGGGAATGGGGATGGGGATGGCGCTATAGCAACTATATGAATCCAATGGCTTGTAATTTATAACGCAATCACGTGCCACATTCGACGCCGTCGACCAAAGGCGCCAAAAATATGAATATATATATGAGCCGAGAGCGACTAAATAATTTGGAAATGATTTACAATATGGCCGGGACGAGAACTAAAACGACCGGGGGGCCCAGCGATTCCGGGGTTCGTATCCTATAGTCCGGAGGTTCATAAATCTAGCTGCATGACGAAAAGATGCAGTCCACTAGAGTCGAGTTTTGCCGGAGTTGAGTTCTTGGGGCGCCGGGCGCAATGAAATGTGCTGAAATTACAGGCTGCAGCCGGGAATGATGCATGACTGGCAGGCAAAAAGAGTGGTTGAGCCAGCCCCATCCCGAAAATTGTCATATAAAAATGCGACCCCGTGGCGCTAATTCGGTTATGTATTGTCAGTGGGCCTAATCTAGCGGGAAATGGCCTTTGGGGATGCCCCCCGGCGATGCTGAGGCGATAATTGCAATGGCAGTCATTTCAATTTGCCCGCTCCGCCATTCGCTATCCGCTGTCCTCAATTCGGAGTCCTCGATCCTTTTCTCCCCACTTTGATGGATGACAGCGGCCTGCAGTCCGCTGCTATTGTCAAACATTTCGCGCCTTGGCCATTTGTCTTTCCGCCGCTGTGGCTCTTGTTGCTCCTCCTGATCCTCGTGCTCCCCCGGAGCCTTCTCCTCCAGCAGTTGTAGCAGATAGCGCTCCTCATCCTAAGGGGTAGCTTAACATTTCTGTGAGGTTTGATTCCTAAAAGCTACAGTTAAAAATATACATAATTCACATACAATATTAACCGAAATAGTGATTAGATTAAAGGTAATATAATTACTGCTTTTGAAACCTAATTATATCTGATAAAGGTTCGTCTATAATGTATATTACGAGTATCTATTGCTAGTATAGCATAGTTATATAGTTAGTAATTAGTGTAATTGGATCTAATTACCCCGTTTGCCATAACATAAGCTTTTAATTTAATTTTAATCGAATGATTATAAAGTCTGAAATTTTTTTTTTGAGAAGGGAGTCAGTATGTTTTAGCAGACAAGTTTTATAATTTTATTTATATTTTATTTATTCACAAGAATATTAGTTAGTGAATTGTTTATGTTGCACATTTTATTTTACACATTTATTCTGTTCAATTTAATTGTTTTTGTATTAGGGTAAATATATATTTTTAGACCCGAATTTCAGTTATCTCTTACTGGTTAAATATTTTAAAAGTTTTTCAAAACCGAAATTAAATTTGGCTTAAATCTATTTTTTATGTTAAGAAAACTTTGTTTACCCAATCAAATGTGACTAAAAATCGTACTTAAGAAAAAGTTTTTTCATTAAAACCGAAGTCTTATAAAAAACTGCTTTTTAAATTGTAAGGCAATCTTATCCAATCAGTTTTTGTTTTTACCTTCAGGTTCCCAATTATTTTTCCATGGGAAATTCATATCCCTTAATTGTTAGGGCAACTAATCGCTGCTTTCCTTTGGTCACGGATACTTGTTACATTCGCTGGCATTTTATTTTGTTTTTATCCATTTTTTTGTTGCAGCCGCCCTGCGCCTTAATTAAAAAGCTGCAGGCCGCTTAGGAAGAAGTTGCAGTGCTGAAAAAGGCAAGGCAAAAGCCAAAGGAGCGGGGCCGCCGAGGTATTTATGACTTGGCACGCAACGGACGGAGCATGATTTACGGTTTCCACGACTTCGGTTTATTGAGAGGCGCCACGGGCAGCGGCACAGGATGCAATAGAAACAGAAGCGTTCCGTGAGCGAAACAAAGCCAGCGCCAAGAATTGGCCGCAATGGCCCATCAATCATTAGCGGCTGTCCATACCTTGGCGTAATCCTTTTTGCCGGAGTGGATGCGTCCAAATCCCAGCTATATACCCACTACCCACTCCCAGTTCCAATTGCAAAGGCCGGAAGCAGGACTCGATTGGCTCGAATGGCTTTATGGCCGCATTATGCTTAATAAAGCACTCGCTGCCACTGGGTCTTTATTTTTATTTCTATCGGGGATCCGGGAGTTTTATCTGCGAGTCATAATGGGAGATGGCGACGCTTTTACATCCGTGATTTATGTGATTACTTCAATGCGGCGGCGTTGCGCCAAAAGTCGAAAAGTGTCTATATAAAAGCGATTTGGAGATTCGGGAAGCGATTTTCATGGCCAAACCCTCGCCCCCTTTCGACTGCAAACATTTTGTGGTTGAGGCGTGACAGCCGCCTCGTTGGAAATGTATAAATATGCATAAATATGCTGCAGTCTAAATTGCAATTAACACTTGGCCCCGAAATGTAGGCAACACTCGCTGCCAGCTCTTTTGACCGCTAATGAGCCCAGCCGTCCAGTTGATATTCAATTTATTTATTTCACCCTTTTTTTTTTTAATGGCCCAACTGCCGCGTTATTAACTCGCCTCTTGCCTCTTTTTTCATGCCGCAATGGCACAAAATAATTTTCCCAATTGGGCATAAGTCCTGCGGTTGAAACGAACGCCCCCGCCTGCCACGCCCCCTCGGCTGTCTGTGTGCGCAAATTGAAACACTCGCAGATCGCAGCTCGCAGCTCGTCTGCGTCGGCCTTTATGCAACCCGGAGTCCACGAGAGTCGTCCACTCATTCATGAATGCATTTACATGGCCCGGCTTCAACTTGCCTCCGAGGCACTCAAAAAAAATATTTTCTTTGCTACAGATTTACTAAAATTCTTAAGGCGGATTATTTAAAGGAGATCTATAAAAGTCTGTAAAGCTTCCAATAATATCCAATAAAAAGCAGACGTATCGTTAGTAAAAAAAGCTCTGAACTCATGCCATAATAAAGGTATATGAGTTCTTTCGTTTATAATTCCGCTAAAAAAAACCTAATTATTTTGAGTATGGGGTTTGAGAGATAAAGGGTTGCACTTTTAAAATGTTTTGACTGGATTACAAAACAAGAATCCATTCGCCTGTAAAATAATTTTAAAGTGGTCCAAAAAAAGCATATAAGATTTGAAGGCATTCATCGGGGTAAATTTTCATTACGTTACATAGTTAATAAATTGTTAAAACTTAGTTTGTTTCAATGACTTACATATACCACTTCAAAGGATATATCTCTAAAGTCTTTTACAGTCTTTAAGAGTTTTTTATTTATTTTCCCACATTTTTTCACAGTGCTATAGAGGGATGGGCTTTCAAAGGGGTGGCAATTTAACAGCATTTACAGTAACACGTGTAATTATTTCATGAGATTTATCTGCAGCAGCCGCTCGCCTTCGCTGCACTTTGGTAAATGCGACAAAAATTCCAATTGCAAGGCGCAAACAAACGGGGCGTGGCAGGGGGCGGGGGGTTGGGGATGCCACAAGTGACCGCAGCATAAACCAGACCATCTTACGAGGTGCCGGAAGAGCGGAAAAAGGGGGGGGAGCCGGGCAGGATGCCGTGATAAGCTGCCATGTGGCAGGCGCAACCTGTGCTCATCTGTCACTTCCGGCCACGCTCCCCTCCCCTTTCCACCCCTTCGGCGCCCACTCGTGCATCAACTTACAAGGCACACGCAGCGCCATCTGTTGTGGTTTATTTGCGTTAAAATGATTGGATGCACGTCATATCTACGGGCCCCCAGTTACCAGTATCCACGATCCAGCATCCAGTATCCAGCACACAGCTCCTGTTTCATCTGCAGTCCCTGCAATCCTTGCCAGCTCGTAATTCTTTTACGAAGCCTGCGATAGGCGCAGTTTTAATATCCTGCAAAATGGTCAGCACAAGGGTATATACATACCATTACAATCAAATACCATATTATAGTTTAATCCATGAATTCCGGTGCTTTTATACGTCTAACTTTGATTTTGTCTTTCGGAACCTAGAACAAAAGGTTTTGGTATTTATTCTAATCCCAAAAATAATCCCAATATTAAACTTTTTTCCCATTTTATGTTTTGTTTCGGTATAACCTTTATTTATTTTGTTAAATAATGAATTACAAAATTAATTTTATATTGGAAGAAATCAAAAATAACGATGGTGTCTTCAAAAATATTGATTCAGTTATAATTTTTGATGGCAAATTTCTTATTTCTTTTAATATAAAGTAATGGGTATCCATTAGTCGTCGGCCCCGAAAACAAAGTTTTTGCGGCTGTTGTAACTGCAACTTTTGTTGCTGCTGCAACTGCGTGTGTCGCGATGTCGCGGCAGGCCTTTCCCAGGTACTTTATGGCCTTGTCGCGGTTGAGCTGAGCTCCGCGCGTGCCTCCTCTACATATTTAATATGCAAAGCCACGCGGAGAGCGACTGAGCTGCAGATGGATGCACTGCCACATGGCGGAAGATGCAGCAGCAGGACCCCAGACACTCGAACTGGGAGTGAAACTGAGTCCGAAAATTGGAAAGCTGGAGGAGGAGATGTATTCGATGGCAGGAAATGCGATACGATGGTGGCCAGTCTGCTATCAGTATACGGTATTTTTTGTAGACCGACCTGCAGGAAAATATCGTGATGATAAAGGCTAGCCTGAGTTTTTACTATTGCTTGGAGGGCTAAGCTACAAAATGTTTAAAGAAAGACTGTTATTATTTCTATAAAATCACGAACTTTCTATAAATATTTAAAAATATTTTCTTATGGGAAACAAAAATATAGAACCCAAGTTAAAGGTTTTTATATAGGTATTTAATATGATTTGGGCTGTGTATTGTTTTTCAAATGAGCTTTCCTTTTCTCGTCCACTTACTAGCTTTATTTCTTCTTGAACTTTGAACCTCCTTTCCTTATAAACTTAGGATTCTAAAATCAGGAAAAGGTAGTCACTGACTCGTTCTTATAATCAAATATTTGGCCTTGCTGTGATAAGCAGTCCTTGAGACATAAATTTCGATGGTTCTAAACCTGAAGTTTTATTCCTGAAGACTAAACACTCTCCATATCTAATCTCTGTTAGACAGGTGGAGTTAAAATAATTCCACCACGTCAAGTCCCCAACTCCCTGTGGCCATCAGGCCAAGTTCCCTAGCCACATGCGTTCTCATGCAAAATCTCCAAGCCCGGCCAACAAGTTTGGGGCATCTGTGAGTGTCACCTGGCTGTTTTCCTACCATCTCTCTGCCCATCTCCCTGCCAGCCGAGGGAGCAGCATGTCACCAAAAGGCAGAAGATACTATCCCACAGCCCAAGCCCACAGCACACCGCAACCAGAAATGCCCGGGAGGATTTTCAATTTTACTGCATCATAAATTAAATTACCTCTTTCGATGCGATGTACGATGGTTGAGGAGACGGAGAGCAGAGCTGGGCCCATATTTTGCCAGGACAGGAGCAGCCTGGCTCCATTTTATTACCGCAAAAGAAACGCAACAAGGAAGTGATGGTGCTGGTGGTGGTGGTGGTGGTGCGACCTTTGACTTTGCCAAAATGCCAAAGGTATGCGCAAAAATGCACAAAACATTCAACCAGTTAAGGGGAGAGGGGCTTTAGGGGGTTAAGAGGGCCTAAGGAGTGGGGCCAACCAATTCCCAAACTGCAGCAAAAATGTACAACAGCAGTCGCAGTCGCAGCCGCAGACAACGATGAGGCCAAACGACGATTGCGACTGCAACATTACGTATACGCAGTGGTGCACCGCTGGAAAAAAAAGGAAACACTGGCGACGGACACCCAACCAAATAGCCAAATGGCCAAGCTCCCTGGCCATGGATCCTAATGAAATCAGTAATCGTAATGTAGCAGTGGTAAAAAAGAATCCGGGGGTGGAAATAGGTAGCACTGCCCATCCAAAAAAATAGAAATGCCCCCGGCTGAATGTTTGTTTTTCGAGTGCGTCCTTTTGAAATCTTGCACACAGGAGTCCATTAAATTTTCCAGCTTTGATTTGGCGAGCGGAAAGCTGGGCTGAAAAAAAAGAAGGAAACACTCGCGGCTAATTTATGTAATTTGGCTAAGAGGCAAACACACACCACACACGAATGTCGAATTGGAGCGCATCCATAACGACCCTGAAATGGGGGCTGGATTCGGAATGCTGATGAACTCGAAACCGGCAAGACGACAGCCCACATCGACTGGCCATAATTAAAATTACCTCGTTTACCTGTCACGTTTGGTTGGGCGAGGGGCAATCCCAGGATGGCCTCGCTTTTGGCCTCTTTGTTGACGTATTTTTTGGTTTATTGCCTTGCATTGCGGATGTGTGCGACGGCTGCCAAATTGTAATGTGCGGTGCGTCCAGGGAAATGGCCAAGCTCTCTGCGATCATAACGTGGCTCTAATGGTCCTCAGTTTTGTTTTGGCCAGGTCAATAGCTTGAATACTTTATCTTTTCCGGCCCCAGACTCACTCTTTTATTTTACTGCCGTCCGTTTTCTGTCGTTTCGTCCTTTTGTTTGATGAAATATGATTGTGTTTGTCACTGGGAAAAGTGGCCAAAAGGGGCTGCAGATTTGGACTCAGGTGAAGTGCACGGCTTGGCATTTTTAATTGCCTTTTCCTCAGAAAACCAAAACCAAACCAAGCTCAGTCCGTTTCCTCACCCGTTAGCCGTAATTCATTTGGAAAATATTTTAATTAGAAATTGTTTTAATGCCTGCCCAGACCATAAATCCAAATAGTTACCCAATAAAATCATATTTAGCAGAGGGCGAATTTTTTAAATGTCCGCATGCAGGTTGTAGGTTGTATGTGAGAGGTCACCGAGTGTGTGGCTGGGGGTTATCCTTGTGGGTTACCGAGTTAAAGTGTCGTGCAAGTATTTCCCTAGCCTTGGCCATGTTCTGCTGTTCCTGCAGCTCTGTGGGCCAAATCACATGCTGCTTACTTATTGCCGGGATTAGGAGAAGATACCTTTCAGCAGCAGCCCCCCACTTGCCACACACCCCTTGCCTGTTATACTACACAAAAAGAATTTAGTATTTTACAATGATGGTTTTCAGGGAGAATTTTATTTAGTGTCTATTTATAATATTGACTTTTTTCTTGGTTTTGGAATCATTTATAATTAATTATTCCCCTTTAGTTATATGTTATTAACAATAATATCTTTTTTATATGTAAAAAAAAATCCTGTAATCGTAACGAGCGATTTTAAAATAAATTAAATGCTATATGTAAATTTTCAAAATTTCTATACAACTTCTCAAAGAGGTTTTCCAACAAACTTAGTAAAATATATCTCAAGATTTTCTGATGCTTTCATATTTCTTCCTCTGACTTGCAGAGGAATGTATTTTCTATGGAGATTAATTTATATAGAATTTTTAGAATATTTTCATGTTAGTGTATTAAATTTTCTCTCAGTGCAGGTGCGAGTGGTTTTTGCCGGGCTTCGGCGGACATAACTCAAACCGAAATCGCCTGCCATGGCCTGCACGTGCAGCAGTTGCCGCCTGAGCCTGCCCTGCCAGCACACTATGGGGAATTTGACCACTTTTTTTGGCCAATATTAATAACTCCCTCAATTTTAAAGATATCAAAGTAAAACTTTAGCAATCGTTATTATTAATCACAACGCATATTCTGCATGAATATCTTTCGGATCAGACAACTATATCATATAGCTGCCATAGGAATGATCAGATCAACTTTGCTATTTTTAGAGATAAATGCATAAAACTTGATAAGTACCGTTTTAATACAATATTAAAACCACATAAAAATTTTTGTTAAAATCGGAAGAATATTTCTTTTAGTTTCATAGAACCGAAAATTCTCTGAGTTTACATGCAATTTCTTTCATTTTTTGATACAGTTATAGCTTTATTTTTCTTTTTACAACCTCTTAAGTCCGTTTTTATTGTCAAATGGTAGCGATAATTGTTTTTGCATTACTTTAGAAGACATTTCAAATGTATGTCTATTGATATCTTTCTTCCACAGTGCAAACAAAGGGGCATTTGCAAAATTTGAGGTTATGATCTAAAAAACTAAATTTCTCCAAGAATCGAAAAAAGTGGATTTTCTGACTACATTTATTTTAAAGAGAATTCCTTAATCTTTAATTCCCAAAGGTTTGATGGATGGACTCCGCTGGACTCGCTTTGTATCTCTATTTAAAAATTGGTTTTCTTTAAAAATATTCATGTTAGACTTGTCACAAAAACAATCGATTACAAGAAAACCACGATTAATTTAGATTGTTTAATCACACAAATACTTAGTGCACACTACCATCCCTTGAATTAATTCAAAAAACTCCACTTAAATTGCTTTAAGACTCTTATTTTTAGCAATTAAATAGTCTCAGCATTGCGTCAAATTTCTGAGGCGTGAAAATGCAACATACAGCAGCTGATCTAACAGCTGTAACTTAGCAGAGGCGGCCTCTATTGAAATTCCTGAAACGTAACATTGAAGATTGGTCTTCTGTTAAAGTATTCTAGAAAACACAATTTTAGTTTAACGACTTTAAAAAAATGGGTTTTGGCCAAAAAAAGTGGTCAAATTCCCCATAGTGCAGCAGTTCCCCAGCTGCGGTTGCAGAGGCTGCCCCGCCCCTTTTGCCTCAGCCCCCTTAGCCCCTTCCCCTCTCCCTCCCCCTATCTCTGGTGGTGTTGCAGCCAGCTACTCGTATTTGCAACAGAATGGAATGGAATATGGGTCAAAGTGCAGTTGAATGTCCTGAAACATCCGCAATGCTGTAGTTTGACTTTTTCCGCACACACACGACGGTTTTGCCTTTGGTTCTGTGTTGGTTTGCATGGGAATTGCATTCAGGAATATTTTACGTTTTACGTTACGTCCTGCGACTGCATGTATGTGTGTGTGTGTGTGTGTTGGCCAGGACTTTTACGTTACTTATTCGCAGTTGGTTTTTTTATAGGCGCATACACATGCCTGGGATTTTGCGATTTGGGGCTTGCAAAAGTTGTGTAGCCTGTCAGGCATCGAGTCTGAGCCGATCTGTCTGGATCGGCCGATGGTTTATGCATTCTCGCCCATCCCAAAACCCAAAAAATCCAATCCCCCCTGCCCTTTTGTTGTGTGCCAGCCAAGTCAGTCCTTTTCTGGCCTTCAATTAGCGTTCGAGCTTTAAGGACAAACAATTTGCGAAGCTCGAAATTGCCAGGACATGTGCAACACATTTTTAGATTATTCTATATTACCCAGTACGAGAAACTAATGAAAGGTATATTGAAATTGAATTGTCTGGTTGTAAAAGTATTTTGTATAGCCCCTAAAAGGCATCAAATAATTTAATTACATAGAAATGATTTGTTTAGGATACTTTTTATAACAAAATATAAGAGATGTTTTTCTGAGGTATTATTTTCAGTTTAAGATTTATTCCATTGATAAAATAACCAATTATTTATACCCTCTTCAATCCAAATGCATTTATTTATTCTCTTCGAATTTGTCCACATAATTTAAAATACCTAATCTAAATAAAATTTGTCAACTAAGCCAACAGAAATGGGTATATTGTGGTCCCTTTAACTTTTCCAGTGGAACCCATTACTTTCGACTTGTGGACAATCAAAAGGTCCTGCCTGCACTTGGCCTTTGATCAAAACTCAAGCTACAAATTAGCCAGGACGCGACTCGGACCGCTGCCAGTCTGGGGCTTTTCCTTGGCCACTGCCTGTTTCCTCCTGCTCCGCACTAATTTCAAAGTTTCACGGGTAATTTTAAAGATTTGTGTGCCGCAATCCATTAGCCAGGACGAAGGGAACAGTAGTAGGAACAGGAGATGGGGCAACTACTTGACATGCCGTTGGCCGCAATGAAATGCGCAATAAATAAGACGCTAAATGAATACCAGGGCATGTTGGCCCCGGATCGGCCAAACAAACAAGCGCATAAATTTGGCAACCCCACCTCCTTCGAGCCGTGTGTCGCCTGTAATTTTGCTCTTTATGGAGCTGGTTTGTCATTGAAAGGATATATCCGGCAAAAGAAAATCCAACGGGAAGCGGCTTTGATCACACATGCACGGGTTGATTGACCGGAAGGGCGAATGGAGTGCTTTAGGATGCTCCACCTGCGATGCCCAGGAGTGAATCACGACTCCGGGCGGCCAAAACACTTCAGATCGGAAGTTCTGCCATCGCCTCTTCAACCAAAAGTTTGTTGAGGTGAAGGAGAATGACCAAAAATGCGTAGCTCGGCAGTTTTTCCTCTACACAGCAACAAATATTATTTCCATTTAAAACAAATGATTGACTTTTCAAAAAGGTATTAATTATTTATCAGAGTTAGGTACAATTTTACGATGTTTTTAAATGTTTTGGTTCACAATGTTTCTGAATAATTTATTATAGTTTTTAATCTACCTTTTAAGCATACATTGTTCTAATAGCGCAGAAAAACTTATAAGTCATCCGAAAGTACTGCACAAAAAGATAAGTTATTAAATTACAAAAATTGGCCCAAATACATTTGAACGTACCATGGCCATAGTTTCAATGGAGACGTTAACAAAAATAGTCGCCTTAAGACAAACTGGTTGTTGGGCTCGTACAATCAAAACTAAGAGCATCTTTCGAAAACGTGAATCCGTTTCTAACCAATTCATGTCATAGGCAGCAAAGGCCACATTTTCACTCTGAAAATAATAAACATTTAAATACCTGCTAAAGAAATCAAAGTTTATAAGTAAACCGCATCGATCAGCATCTGACTGATTGAGCACAGGAGGTATATCTCTATTGTCGGTGAAACCAGACTCAGCATGTGCAAGGCATTTATGCTCACGGTCATCTGAAATCCCATTAAACAGACGAGGATCGAGGATGCCACAAAATTCACCAACAGTGGAATTCCAAATACCTCGTTCATCACATCGGTGAGGCTATTATAATTTGCATATTATATAATACGATGTAATAGACCATAAAGTAAGATATAAAATCTTTCGTCGATTTACCCGAGTATTTGGTTGTGGTAAGCAATCAGGGACCGCAGTTCCCTTAGGTCCTCTTCAGCTGCTCCAACATCGCCTGAAACGTTTTTGACTTGAAAATTCATGAGAGCCCGTGACAAGTGGTCAAAGTGCATGATGGCCTGCATGGTCGCGGCGAAGATTATGAGATCTGCTGAGATGTGGCCACAGGTGGCCGTATAGCCAGCTATCGCCTGGGACATATAGGTCAAGTAGAATTTCCATCCGCCGCTGTAGTCCCAGGGGGCCAATTCAACATAGGGCATTGAGGGCTGGGCATTCGGAGAGTGCAGCAACTTTAGGATGGTGTACTGGATGAGGGCGAACATGCTATTGGTCACCAAAACGATAGTCCAGAGACCACCAAACCCCCTGGAGAAGCGGTGACACCGTTTCAGGTACTTCTTCACATCATACTGTTCCTGCTCCGTTTGACGGGGTGGTGGAAATAAGGATTCCAGTGACCTCACCAAGTTTGACATTTTGCCCCTTTGAAAGATGGGAGGGATGAACTTCAAGAGGCCAGCCACTATGAACAAGATGTAACTTATCTCCTCGCAGGACGCCACAAAATTCTCCTTATTCCGGAACGACACTATCACAAAGATGATCTGCATGGCCAGCATAAATACCAGGTTTGTCAGGTGGATGACGAAGTAAATGTGGGATAGGATTCCCGCTTGCCTTTCGTTTCCTGAAAGGCGGATTGGCTCCAGGCCGACGGTGTAATAGTAAAGCAGCGGGAGATTTAGGAAATCCTTGAGCGTAGGATACACATTCTTCACCTTCTCGATAAGATCGGACTGCCCCATCAAAAAATCTTGGTTTATTTCGGTTCAGATTCGATTGCACAATAGGGTGCCTGCCTAGAACTTAACTGCTTTTTATAAGCTCAAGTCAGAGGGCTTTGAAGGACGAAGTGGAAATACTCTTTTAACTTGAGAGAGAACGCTATAGTCGAGTATTTCGACTATCAGATACCCGTTAATCAGCTAAAGGTAGTTCGAGGGAGATGGAGATATGCCCTCGTCATAGCAACTGGCGCCATCTAGTGGCTGTTCATTTTTTGGTCATAACTTTGTCCTGGATTTTCCAAATTAAAATGGCATTTACACTATTACAAAATCGGCAAAGATGTGTATAAAAATATTAACGTCAATCGGAAGTAAATCTTAAATCTAATACTAACAATATTAGTTAGAATTGTTCATTGAACATTTTTTAAAAATACTAGAATGTTTTCCATCATTAAGAATGTAGTTATAAGCACTGCGAAATACCCTTTCCAATCGATATATTGACTATAATGGCAGTTATAGTGTAAAGTTTACACAGGGAAAAATAGTTCAAGTTTAAGTAAATTATCCATTCATTTTTTTCAAGTTTTTTATGAACATTTTTCTCCTTGTGAAACTAGTTGGGAAATAAAAATAACCTGTGTGATTAACGGACAGATTTATTGTATTAGGCTAATACTATTAGCTCAACATTTGTTAACACACATTTTTGAACACGTTTATAAACATGTATTTTTTAGTGTAAACCAAAATAAATTTAACTTTCTTGCGGTTTATGGTTTTGACTTTTCCGTTGGAAATTACTTGCGGTTAGCCATATGTGTTTATATTGGCACAATAATAACGCAATAACCTTTTAAGTTTGTAAATGTTGTATATATCCCGTTTTTACTAAATATTCTTTGGGTCTTAAACGAAGGTCAGTTTCCCACAGAATCGATGTAGGAATACTTTTTCGCTGTGTACCGCCTCTTTGTGGCTCTCTTCTCTAATGAACGTGCGGCATTTGTCACCCAAGAATGTGGATGCCACCGTGGGTGGATGTGGATGCTACTGTGGGCATTAGTGTCGGTCAGTTGGGTCTTGGCCATATGCAGCAGATTAAAAGTCGATTTGACAAGCTGTTGACTGGCCGGAGGCAGGAGTCAAAGGATAAGCGAGTAAGTGGAAGACAAGTGGCATGCGTGTCCAGTGACCTAGGCCCTTGGTCTTTTCCCTACCTCTCATTCTCTCTCTTGCAAGATTTATGTGGACAGGGACCACTAGCTGGCAGGCAATTAAAAAACAGTTAATGAAAAGCGCCAACTCAGCCTCAAAAATCTTTGCAAAGTTTTTGCTGCGCCAAAAATTACGCATACGCCGCATGTGACAACTGTCAACAATATAATTCTTCTAGCCAGCCATAAAAAATGATGCAGGTAAGGTGGTGGTAAGAAAGGGGGGAAGGGGGAGGGGGGCGTGACAAGGGCAAGCCTAAAGCAGCTTAAGGCAGTTACTTTTTGCACCTTTTAGACGGCTTATGCGAAAGGGAGGGAAGCCAACTCAGTGCCAAAGCCGGGGCTCACTTGCCTGTCGTCTTCGCTGCCAGCAAAAGAGGCGGCGGAAGGGGGGTTCACCCTATAAGGGAACAAGAATAGAAAGATAGCCTCGGGATCTGAAATTTTAAATACCCTTGTAGAACAACCTATTGTGTAATTACCATGTCTAAAGTAATCGTACTTATATTGGGTTTAAGAAAAGGCAGATAAAAGGAAAGCAAGACGAAACATTAGAAAAATCTTATTATTTTATTATTTGCTATACAAAATGTATTTATTACAATTAACTTGGTTGTAAGTTTATAAATGCTAAAACTATCGTCGTTTTAAATTAATAATTTAAATATAAAAAATGTAGTGAAAAATATTTTATTACCAAAGAATTTTGTAACTTCTAAGAAAGAGGTTTTAAATGTGAAATACCTTCTTGAAGGGAACACCCAGAGATAGCAAGAGGGGCAGAGATATACGGAGAAGGGAAGAGAGAGACGGAAAAGCGTGGCTGCACTTTAAGCCTTCGCTGAGTAATTGCGCGCAAAAAATGCGCAAATTGAGCGCAAGACCCAGAAAGACCCCAAAAGCCCCACCACCCCCATTTAAACCCCCATTCCGGACCCCCTCCCCCTTTCAAAGGGCAGCGAAAACTTAGTTTTCGACTGTGTTTACTTTACGAGTTGCGTTTTGCGTGCGAAAAGTTTTACTTACGACTTGCATAAATGCAGTCATTGCCAGCTCTCCGTCCGCCGTTCCCCTTGCCCGCAAAAAATGCAGTCAGAGTCCCAGAAGAGATTGGCATGTAAAATATGCTAAAAGCATGCCACTTCCCAGGGGGCCAAGAGGGGGATGGGTCGGCAAGGCCTTTTCAAGGCGTCGCTTAGTCGCGATGTCAGATTTGTCAAACGCTCTCAGAAATGAGGGGAAAATGGGATGGGGGCCAGAACAGCTGGAAGGCATCGAATGCCACCATGAATATTTTCCAATTGCATAGTTACAGGCGCTGGCCAAATATTTTAGATATTTGTGACATCTAAATAGTCGGGGAATTTCTCAAACCTCAGGAGAATTCAAAACCATATCGTATATGTGTACAAATAGACATTTAAATGTTTTTATCTAGCCAGTGCTATTTTAGTTTGCCAAAAAATAATCGGCGGGAATATTTTTTCCTAGAAAATAAAATTTAATAAAATATTTATTAGATGATAGAAATAAATAAAAAGTCAATAAATATATCTGTTTTGAAGGTGCGATCGTCACTTATCTCTTCCCCGTTGAAAAATGTTTTTGTTTGATTTTAATAAACAAATGTTACACTACCTATATTACTTACCTATTATTGTCAAACCCCCATTAACCTTTTTGATCAGCAAAATAAATATATCTTTAACCAGTTTCATATCCATACCACTTTATTTCCTTATAGCACAAAAAACTATCCAAATGAAGTGCAGAGGCCAAACTTAAGCGCAGGAAACTTACAGATATGGAGAACGGGAGGCGGCGAACATAAATTACTCCGCTCATTGCGCACATTTCTGCGCCAAATCTAATTTGCCAATAAATTCCTTTGTTCATCTCGGCCTGAATGGGGGCCATACTCGTATCGAGCAAAGTATCAAAACTTTAAAAGGATACTTTGCGGCAACCAGCAGATAATGCCTAAGCAGCAAGGGCGAGAAAGGGGAGTCAGCTGAATTGCAGGCGAAACTTTAAAACTAAACAAACTATTTATAAATTGCGCAGAACTTAAGACCAACCGAAAACTTGCCAAGCAAAAGAGGGTAGAAATTTGCACAGCGAAAAATAAGAACTGATATTATATGGATTAATATTTATTTATTTTATTATTAATATTATTTTTGTTTATTAAATCGAGTCAATCGATCCTTTAAATAAATACTTTATTCAATGCCAAGTAAGAATTCTTTAATATCGTTTTTATATTATTGCGTAATACAATGTGGTTATTTGTATACTTACTGGAACCCAAGTCAAAATTATATGATTTTTTTTGCAGTGTTCGGGAAGGGGAATCGTGAAAGGAGTGGGGTGCAAATGGACAGCGCGTAGGAAGATGCAGTTGCAACTGCTAGCCAAGCCAACTTCTTGCGGGCTGCGGCAATTCGTTTAAGCCGCTTTGCAGCCCCGGCAATTTATGTGCCACGGCTGCCTTGCCAGAAGTTCCTTAAAGTATGCAGGCCCCCATCCTGGCCCCTTGTCCTTGCCACCACCGCCGCCCATGCGCCTTAACCCTCCGATGGGCTGGCAAATGCGTTTGGCAGACGCCGCGGCATCGATGACGCCCCGAAAAACTTGGCGCTAAATTGCGGCCGAGGCGCGTGTTCCACAAAAACTTAAGTGGCTTATATGCTGGCCATCTGAAGGGGGAGGGGGTCTCACAAACAACAAACATGCGGCAACAACAGTTTCAAGGAACATAAAGAATAACCAGGGGCCAAGAACAGGATCAAAAACCGAACTGAAGGATACTTTAAAACGTGTTGAAAATATATAAAATAAATATTCAATATTTAAATAAAACAAATCTATAAGAAATGCAATCATTTTTGTATATTATAATTTAATAAGTAAAATAGATTAAAAAATAACACTAAGAAAAAAAACTAATTAATATTAAAAATAAGTAAAACAAATAAATAATAATAGTAACATTCTTAAAATAAAAGTCATGTATTTTTGTTTTTCAATATTTTAACATCCTATATATTAGTTTTTGGCTGAAATATAAATATTTATCAACATATTATTTTCAAAATTACAATACTTTTTTTGGTGAATTACCAGCCTAACTTGTTTCTAGGATTCCATATCCTTTTTAAGTGTAAGGAGATGTCTGCTGATGTGCTATGTGCATGAAAAATAATCATGGGCAGCACTTGAAGCGTCGCAAAGTCTGCGGCAAAGACTTTGGCTTTCGATGGGACTCCTCAGTCAGCTTATGGCGCTGCTCTGGGAGTGGGTTTGGGTCTGGGTCAGGGTGTTAGCACTCTATATACATATGGAATATGGATGACGAGACCCACTTCGGCAGGAAGCTCACGCCAGGCGTCAATCAATCAAGCGAGTGAAGAGATCGATGCCGCTTATCGATGAGTTCATAACATCAATTTCCATAAAAATCCGCTTTGGCAAATTTTAGGGGCAAATTCCCGTAATGAATGGTTCACAACCATCCGTAACCTGTGGATCTGGGTCTAAATTTCGGGATAACCGGGAAGTGGACTTGGGACACACGTAAAATAATGTGACTCTTCGTCGCTCAAGTGTGATAATTAGCTGCTGCAAGCTGTTGTTGCACTGCACCGACCATGTCCGGTGTTCTTGAGGAGGAGGCTTCATTAGCAGCATCGGCCAGGGAGGATAGCCTGTGCATAGTTAATTGGCCGGGCATTGTAATTACTTAAGCATTAACCACGAAAGCAACACTTGAGCGGCGCCAGAACGGCAGCCACATGG